GGCGCGGACGGCGGGAAGGCTGAGCCCGCGTCCCCCGACGGGGCCGATCCCGTCGCGCCCCTGGCCGTGGCGCCCGCTGTGGCAGTGGCCGTGGCGCCCGGCGCTCTGCCGCTGCTGGAACCCGATGTGAGTCCCCCGCCGCCACCGCCCCGGCCGTCGCCGCCCGACGTGTTCGCGGGTTTCGCGCCCCACCCTTCAGCCCTGGGTCCCCCGACGCTGCTGGCCGAGCAGATGAATGTGATCGGCAGCCGCAAGAAGAGCGTGAACATGACGGAGTGTGTGCCGGTGCCCAGCTCGGAGCATGTCGCCGAGATCGTGGGTCGCCAGGGTGAGTGGCCGCCGTCAGGGGCGTCGCCTATCCTGGGAAGGGGCCTCCCCGGCCCACCCCAACCTGCAACGGACACCGGACACACCCCGCGTGGGCTCCAGCCACCAGGCCGCCCTAGCTTCTTTGTCCAGATGCCGGCAGCGAGAGAAAGTTGGGCGCAGCGGGTGCTCCTCCCCTCGTGCTCTGCCTGCCGCCGCCTTTGTCTGGGCTTCTCCTTGCAGCCTCTGTCCAGGCATCCAATTGCTGGCAGGATACCCCGAGAACAGGGGCCTGGGAACCAGCTGCCGGGTCTGGACAGTGGGAGTTCCACCCCCACCATAGACATGGGGAGGGGCAAGCTCAGATTTGAGGGGGGTGTCTTATGGAGGGCACCCCCAGGGTCAGGAGGAAAGTGGCAGCATAAAATAGGTGCATCCCAGCTCTCCAGTCTGGGGTCCGGATTGGGGTGGGGGCCCAAGGGAAATGACAGAGGACTCCTGCCCCATGCTGTACCATGAGCCAAGGATCTGGGGCTTGTAGAAGATCCAGCTGCTGAAGCTGTTTCTGGGGTGCAGCCCCACACCCCTCCTTGGCAGGCTAGCCACAGGCAGGCCCAGAGTGTGAGGGTCCCAACAGCAACCTTGTTGGAGTGTCCCTGTTGCCGCCCCATTGTTCTCTTTGTTAGAGAACCAGGCTGAGATTCGCAGGGTGACATCAGGCTGGCCGATGCTCATTGGCCCTCGAGCTGTGGGGCGGGCAGGCGGTGGTGGGCAGTGCCTGGTCCAGCACACACCCACTGCCCAGTGAGCAGCCATGCTGCCTGCACACTGCCTCAACTTTCTCCTTCCTTCCTGTCCAGGGCTCCCCACTCCTGACTCCCTGCTTACAGTCTGTGATCAGGCTAGGTTCTAGAACTTAGGGTGGGGCTTGGGAGGGCCAGAGGTGGGGCTGTGAGACACTCAGATGGGGGAAGGGGGGTCATGACTCTGGACCCTTTGTAACAGAAGCCAGAGAAAAGTGTGGGGGACCTGAATTGCATGATCACCTGGTCACCCTTGTTCTGAGCAGATGGGGCAGTTGGCCAGCAAGACCTGGCTTTCACTCACACGTCTATTCTGTGCATGGACCAGGGTCAAGCATTTTGTTGGGCCCAGGAACCCACCATGAGGAGGGAGGCAGGTTACTGTCTGAGCCCCACTGTCCCGGTGTATGGGTGCAGGAAGACCCAGTACAGCAGCTTCCTTCACCACCCTGTGGCTGCCTTCCCACTTAGGCCCTCTACTTCTATCCTAGATGCAGTAGGACAAATTACAGGACAGGTGCCATATGCTGTGTGTCCAGAGCCTGTGGGAACAGATGTGCAAACTGAGGCCTGGAATCTTTTGCCCAAAGTCAGCATGTTGAACCTCTGGGCAGTGGAGGGTGAAATGTGTTTTTGGCTCTGTGTGAATGCAGTTGTCCTGGCACTGGAAGGTCCTTAGAGATCTGCAGCTACACAGGAGGGGGTGCGGGGTCATGCAGAGGGCACTTTGCCCTATGGCCTCAGCTGTGTGGTCTTTGGTGGCAGGGCCATGGAGAACCAAACCTGGAGGCACCAGGTTAAGCCCAACCTCCTGGTGTGCATTTGGCATCCTTTTGTGGGATCCTGGTGTGGCATACAGCAAGGCAAGCCCAGAGTACTGTGGGCCTTGGTGCTTAGCCTGCACACTGGAGTGGCCCTGTGACCCTAAGCCAGTGGCAGCCCTCTCTGATGCAGAGATAGCACCTTCCTTGAGGTTGTTTTGAAGATGCTCCAACAAGATGCTGATTTTAATTCTGAATCCACATTGCACATAATACCACTTAGGATTCATGCAGCTCCTGTGAATACCAAGACAGGATGTCAGCTTTAGTGGTCCTTGCCTCTAGAACCATCTGTGGCTTCCAGCTTCTTCCACCCATCCATTTCTCAGATACATCTATCAAGGTCTTTTGTGCCGCAGTGCTGCCCACTGTCCCTGTGGTCACTTACCCTATTCTCCACCTGAACTTCTTACTCTGTTCTGTCAAACTCCAGGTCTAAGTCCACCCTCTCTCTTGAAGGACAGGAGAGATACACCTACCTGATCTCACCAAATGAGAGTCATAGAGACCCAGAGCCAGCCTCTCCCTGATATTCTGATGTCTCTTAGTGTTTTGTTTTGTTTTGTTTGCGGTACTGGGGTTTGAACTCAGGGCCTCACACTTGCTAGGCAGGTGCTCTACCACTTGAGTCACTCTACCAGCAACCCTGCTGTGTCTGAGCCTCCTTTTCCCAGTCCTAGAATGGGTTCAAGGGTTTTCTGAGCACAGTAGAGTCAGTTACAACCCCTGTGAGGGGATCTGAGCAGGAGGCAGTTTCCCTTTTTTCCTATTTCTGTCTTAACCCCTATGGTGCTGGGGACAGAACCCAGGGCCTGTGTATGCCAGAGCCTGCACAGGCCACACTCCCACCCCCAAGTCTCCATTGAGCATCTATCGTGTGCTGAGCCTGTTCCAGCTTTGACCTGCCCTATGTCAACAAACCCCTCGATGTCCACAGACAGACAGGGAAGGGCACTTCTGGCATGGCTGAGACAGAGCTGGAGCCAGCAAAAACTTCTCCACCTGGAGCTCAGCCTTGGAGTGGAGATTCCCAGTTGGTCAGCAAAGGTCACCTGGGAAGTCCCCCTGTACACTTCCTTCTGAAATCCTCCTACATACCGCTTGGTGTCCTGGATGAATCTGTGCCTCTTGAGGCCACCCTGTGGGTTCAGGGTTTCACCAGGCTCAGTTCTTTGCACCTGTCTGTGTTTCCAGTGAGGAATGATGATGCTGAAAGCAGGGGACGGACTAGAGGTCACCTAGGGCCCTTTCTGCTATTGTCACTGGTAGAGATGCGGCCTCAGACTGCTTCTTTGGGCCCTGGGGACCCTTCCTCCCCATGGCTACTTCTCTTTCCTACACCTCATACCTATTGGTTACCCCACCCCTGTGGCCTGGAGTGCTTTCCCAGTAGGTAGGGACAGTGCTGGGACACTGGCAGAGCTGTGCTTTGGCTCTCCTGCGGAATGCTGTGGCTCTCTGGATTTGTACCTGCGGCAGTGTACTCTCCAAACCAGGTCAGGTGAGCAACACCTGCTGGCCTGGGCTCTGGAGGGGGTCTGCCACAGTGCAGTGGGAGTGAGGTTACAGGGGCAGGTCAGGGCCAGCCTCTGGGATGGTCCTCAGAGTCAGAATCTTGGGGGCAGGGCCCAGGAATCCTCATTGCAGCCCATGGTTGTAGACCATTAGTCACCTCCAGCGACCCCTGGGCCTGGGGCTTAGCTGCTAGCTTCTCTGTGTCCCACTGAAGGGTCCTCCTGCTCCATGTCTGGCGGAAGTGGGGTTTGGGGATAGTATCACAGCTGAGCTGTAGTTGGTCACCTTGACTTATTCTTTGCTTCTGGCCTTTTGACCAAAAGCCCCTCCTCTACCTTAATCTGGCTCTCTCCTCCTTGGCTCACAGACCTGTCCCAACTGCCACCCCCTTCCACATTGCCACTCACTCCATCTAGGCTCTTTATGTGAGCTAGACTGTGGCCATGTGAGGTCCCCCTCCCTGGTGTGACCCTCTGGGGTCCAGAGCACCTGGAGTGTCAGAATGGAAGGACCCCATGTTGGAAGACACCTCTTAACACTCTGTCCCAGCCTGGCTGCCAAGTGGGACAAGGGTCAGGAATGTTAGGATGGGAATGGAGGCTGAGCCAGTTATGGGAAAGCCAGGGCCAGGACAAGTCAACGGGGGTCAGTGTGGGGTACTAGTGTGCCTATTTGGCACAGGAACCTTATGAAGTGGGAGAAGAGCTGGGGGGATGGAGAAAGCAGTGTGCAGACCCAAGAGATGGCCCTCTTCTTGGTGACAGTGTGGCTTTGATTCAACAGCAGCCCTGTGTTGAGCTGCTGTTGCCCTCCAGATGGCTCACTTTTATTAGCATACATTAGTTGGGCAGGAGGTTTCTTTTTTTCTTTTTCTTTTTTTCTTACACCTTGAGCCACTCTACCAAGGCTTTTTTTGTGATGGATTTTTTTCAAGATAGGGTCTCAGGAACTATTTGCCCAGACTGGCTTCAAACCGCAGTCCTCTTGATTTCTGCCTCCTGAGTGGCTAGGATTGCAGGCGTGAGCCACTGGCGCCGCCTACTGGATAGGAGCTTTCATTGTGACATTTCCATGTATGCTTCCAATGATCTTGGTTAAGTTCATCCCCCATCATCATTCTCCCTCATTCCCCCTCCCCACTGGTCTTGCTACTTTTGTATCTTCTACTCCTGGAGACATTAGCAACACTGTACCTTCTCAGTGTACCCTGGTGGTATTGACACTATGTTCCTACTGTCTCTGCCTCCCAGAACCTGGAGGGACTGCTCAGCATCCTTGGGCCCTAACTGAAGATTAGGCTGGGAATGTCCTGGACTGGCAGGCCACACCTTCTCTTTACACCCCAGGGCTGCCTAGATACTGGGTAAAGTGCTCCTGTTGAAGACCCTTGCCCCCAATACTCGTGTGGCCCCATGAGGTCAGCACCCAACCTAGTCCACACAGAGGAAGCTCAGTGCTGTGTTTGAGGTGTCCCATGTCACTGCCAGGAGTCTGTCATCAGGCTCCTTTTGGAAAGAGGCCTTTGGTTTGTATGTACATTCTGAACCTCAGTGTCCCCAAGCTTTGCACAAGGAGTCAGTGTTGGAGGGTCAGTGTACCCTGGGGCTGACATTGTACCGTGTGGCCTGAAACAATAGAAATTTATTTCTTCACTCAGTCCTAAAGCCCAGAATTCCAAGGCTAAGGTGAGCAGGTCCCTACTGCTCCCTTCTGAGGCCTCAGTAGGGAGCAGGGTCCTTCCTGCTTCTTCCAGCTGTTGGTCTTATTGGTGACTCCTTAGTGTCCGTTGCCTCACCCCAGTCAATGTCTCTCTCTAATCGTGTGGCTGTCTTTTTATACGGACACTTAGTTATGTTCGCTCAAGGCCGCCTATTTCATAACATAATGTAATTTTAACTGCATCTGCAAAGACTCTGTGTCCAAAGAAAGTCACTGTCTTAGTCTGTTCCTGCTGCTGTAGCAAAACACCTTAGACTGGGTAATGAAAGAACAGTATTGCATGTGTCTCTGGAGGTTGGAAAATCTAAGATCAAGGCAGATTCATTGTCTTGTGAGGGCCCATTCCTCATAGCTGGCACTTTCTATGAGATGAGTCCTCCCTGTCATGGCAAAAGGGACAATGGAGCTCCCTGAAAGCTTCTTTTTAAGGAAACTAGTCCTATTCAGAAGGGTGCCACCCGGCACTTAAGTCAAGTCCTAGAGGCCCCACCTGCAAATTCTGTCACACTGGATATCTCAATGAATTTGGGGGCACAAATATTCAGTCCTGAGGTTTCAGGATGTGAATTACCAGGAACCAACAACTGGCTCCTTTTGCCTTTTTGCCAACCCTTCTGGCCCAGGGGGGAAACTGAGGCTCAGCATAGGAGGGCCATGGAATGTCTAAGGACAAGCAGATGGGGGCTCTGAGTTGGCCTTGCAGTCAGCTTCCCACAAGGGGCTCTCGGTCACCATGGCTCCCCTCCTTTTGCAGGGTGCAAGATCAAGGCTCTGCGTGCCAAGACTAACACATACATCAAGACTCCTGTGCGTGGAGAGGAGCCGGTCTTCATCGTGACAGGCCGCAAGGAGGACGTGGAGATGGCTAAGCGCGAGATCCTGTCAGCGGCTGAGCACTTCTCCATGATCCGGGCCACACGGAGCAAGGCGGGTGGGCTGCCTGGCGCTGCCCTGGGCCCACCCAACCTGCCTGGACAGACCACCATCCAGGTGCGCGTGCCCTACCGCGTGGTGGGGCTGGTGGTGGGGCCCAAGGGCGCCACGATCAAGCGCATCCAGCAGCGAACGCACACGTACATCGTGACTCCCGGGAGGGACAAGGAGCCTGTGTTCGCAGTGACCGGAATGCCAGAGAACGTGGACCGCGCGCGTGAGGAGATCGAGGCGCACATCACGCTGCGCACGGGTGCCTTCACGGACTCAGGCCCCGACAGTGATTTCCATGCCAACGGCACCGATGTCTGTCTAGACCTGCTGGGGGCTGCCGCCAGCCTCTGGGCGAAGGCCCCTCACCCAGGGCGGCGGCCTCCCACGGCCACAGCTGGCCTCCGTGGAGACAGTACTCTGGGCGCCCCCGGTGGCCCTGATGCTTTCTATGTGGGTAGCCGTGGAGGACCGCCCGTGCAGGACACGGGCCCCACCAGCCCCTATGGTGGCTCAGGCAACGGGGGCTTCACGTTCGGTGGCGATGGCCCCGGGGCCCCTACAGGGACAACAGCCCCCGAGGATTGTGACTTCGGATTCGACTTCCTGGCGCTGGACCTGACAGTGCCCGCCACCGCCACCATCTGGGCTCCTTTTGAGCGGGCTGCTCCCCTGCCGGCCTTCAGTGGCTGCCCGGCAGTCAATGGGGCAGCGGTGCCACCGCCTGCTGGCGCCCGGCGTAGCAGCGGGGCAACAACCCCGCGCCACTCGCCCACGCTGCCTGAGCCCAGTGGCCTGGGCCTGGAGCTGCCATTGGCGCGCCGTGGAGCCCCTGATCCAGTAGGTCCCCTGCCCTGGTGGCCCCCGCAGAGCACCCTGCCACCCTTCTCTGGGAGCACCAGCTTCGCCACTGCGCCCTCGTTGCCCAGCAGTGCCACCACCTCTGTGCTGGACCCCAGTGCCTCAGAAGGCTCCCGAAAACCCTCCATGACAGCAGCCGTGGTGACAGCAGCGGCAGTGGCCAACACATCAGTTTCTCCGGCAGCCCCAGTCCTGCCCACCACCACTGTGGCGCGCGAGTGCGTGGTGTGCACGGAAGGGGAGGCCATGGCCGCACTGGTGCCCTGCGGCCACAACCTCTTCTGCATGGACTGTGCCGTCCGCATCTGTGGCAAGAGCGAGCCTGAGTGCCCTGCCTGCCGCACACCGGCCACCCAGGCCATTCATATCTTTTCCTAGCTGCGCTGGGCAGGCACTTCGAGTGCCAGGGTGGGTGTGGGCAGCAGGGCTGGGCTGCCCGGGTGGGAGAGGGAGCAGGTTGGGACTGGGGTACAGGACACAAAGCCGGGGTGGCAGAGGGGCCATGTGTGTCTGCAGACAGCTTTAACTCCTGTGCCAGGTGTGGAGATGGCTGGCCGGCAGCCCAGCGACAACACCTCGGGTCTTGATAAATGACAGTATTGATGGACAGGTTAAACTAATTCGGAGAGAAAGGCCTGCTTGCACTTTTTATTTAAGACACCCTCTCCCAGGGTGATCTTAAAACAAAACAAAATAACACGATTTTTACAACTCTCCTTCCTTGTCCTCCTTTTGTATGTAGCCGTTTGGATTTGGCAGTGTTTGTTCTTGCTGGCCGGTCTCAGACGACATGGACACTTCCAGAAAGAGGAGAGTGGCGTTTTTACTCCTTTGGGGGTAACGTTTACTGTTTTCTATGCCAGCCACCAGTGGCCAGCTGAGGGTGGGGTGGGGGCGGGGTCCAGGGCGTCCCAACCAGAAATTTCTAACTTTTTTTTTAATTATCACTCCCCTTCCTGCTGTGTTTTTTGTTGTCATTTTTTAAATTTTTTAAAGTTTTTTTAAATTATTTTTACTTTTTACCTCTTGTGTATATGTAGGGAATTTCTAGGGAAATATGTACTTTATGGAATAAATTTTAAGAACTAAAATATATTTTATTTTAAAGTAATGGACCTTTAATCTTACACAGCTAAATTACTGATTATATATTTGCTGAGCTGATTTAAGGGTTAAAAAAATTGTATCAAGAGTTTTATTTTTTGACTTAAAGCCTTCTTAATAAAGTCTTTTTACTACATGTGAGCCCCTGGTTTCCTCCTGCTAGGGAGTGGGGTACCTGAGGGGTGGGGGCCACATCTGGCTCCTCAGCCCCCAACTCTAGAGTCTATGCTCAAACTGTGGCCAGGCACTGTCTCCTGTTCCAGATGAGGGGTTGGATTGTGGGGGACAGCCCCCTCCCTGAGGTTTCAATCCCCCCACTCCAGTGGGAATTTTAGCCCATGGGGTCAGTCAGCTATGACTCCAGAAGGAGCAGGGTTAGGCTGTCCCTGGGCCCACCTGCCAAGTCCATGGGGTCCACCGCCATTGTGCAGATTAGATCTGGAAACTCCCTGGACTGGCCCCAGTGTCTTCTAGTCTAAAGGGACATTTAAGTGATGAGCCCCAGGAGAGTCCACAGGGCCACCAGACACCTCTCCAGGGCTGGGATTGAGCCCTGAGAGTGAGGAGGGAGTGACCACAGGCTGAGGGTTGGGGCCAAGAAGTCAATGGACACTGCCCACTTGGGAGAAGACCCTGGGGTGCATGACAGGATCATGAGCTATCCAGGGACCAGGTTCTCCACACGAAGAGGGCCGTGGGGAGGAGACTGGGGCACAAAGCCTGCAGGAAAACCAGGATTGTGTGGACAGGAGGCCTGGAGGGCTTCCAGGAGGAGGAGAGGGCCTCAGAGATGTTTGGCACTCTAAGCCTCAGAAGGAAACATTCAGAGAGACACATCCAGCCTTGCAGGGCCCCTGGCCTAGAGTCCCTGCTCTAGGTGGGGATAACTCCTTGTCTATTCTACTTCTGAGAGGCCTGGGAGCTGTATTGTGTTGAATGATGCCCCCACACACAAAAAAAAAGTTCCCCAGAACCTCTCAATTTGAGAAAGGGTCTTGACAAATAGGATTAAGGCTTTTCAGGTGAGATGAGTGTGGGTTAGGACCCTAAACCCAGAGATAGGTCTTGTAAGAGAAGACATTCTAAGCTGAGCCTAGTAATGCATTCATATGATCCCAGCTACTTGGGAGGCAGAGGCAAAAGGATGGAGAGTTATAGGCCAGACAAGGCAAAGACTCCATCTCAAAGTGGGGGAGTAGGGTGTGGCTCAGTGGTAGAGGGACTGCCTAGCAAGTGAAAGGCCCTTGGTTCAATTCCCAGCAATACCAAAAGAGGAAAAAAAAAAAAGATTCAGACAGAGACACAGAAACAGGGAGATGGCCTGTGACAAAAGACAGAGGCTGAAATGACACAAAAGCACAAACCTGGGGACACCCAAAGCTTCTGATGCTGGTAGCCTGGAGCCTGGGACAGAGTGAGCCTTCAGCCTGGGCCTAAGACTTCTGTTCTCCAGACTGAGGGAATACTTGCTGATTGCTTTCAATTGTTTAACCCATCCTGAGGTGGCATTTTGCTATGGCAACCTGGGAAACTTAGAATGCAGAAGGCCACACTTAACCCAAGTTTGGCCCCAGGTCAGCAGGGCAGAGGCAGTGTGAGGTCCTGGCCTAGCCAGACCACAGAGGAAAGGACGGAAGTGAGGGTGTACAGAAGACTCCTAGTAGTTTGGACAGGAAAAGAAAGAGTGACCCTCTCTAGAGGGCCAAGGAGCCAAAATAAATAGAATCCATTGTGGGGTGAGGCACAGTGGCTCACGTCTATAATCTCAACTACTTGGGAGATGGACTGCAGAAGGATTGAGGTTTGAGACTAACCCAGGCAAAAAGCAAGACCTCATGTCAATAAGCCAGGTGTGGTAATGCATGCCTGTCATCCCAGCTATGAGGGAAGTCATAGGTAGGAGGATCTTGATCTCATGATTGGAGGCCAACCCTAGTCATAAATGTAAGACCCTACCTGAAAAAAAAAGAACAAAAAAAGGGCTGAAGATGTGGCTTAAATGGTAATGTGCCTGCCTAGCAAGCTTGAGGCCCTGAGTTCAACCCCAAAACAAGAGTCCTTTAGAGGGAAGTGGAGGACATAGGCTGAGTTGAGGACCTGACAAGAAAGGGCACGATGAGGTGCTTGATTCCTAGCTTTAAGGCCTAGGGTTGTCTCAGGCAGCTGTGCCCCTGGGGTTGACTTATGAGCTGGCTGCTGTAAGTCTGGGGAGAGGGAAGCACCTCAAAACTGGGAGAAAAGGATGAGATACAAAGGCAAGGAGCCAGCCGGGTGCCGGTGACTCACACCTGTAATCCTAGCTACTCAGGAGGCAGAGATCAGGAGGATCTCAATTTGAAGCCAGCCAGGGCAAATAGTTCTCCAGACCCTATCTAGAAAAAAAAAAAAAAAAAATCACAAAAAAAAAGAGTTGGTGGAGTGGCTCAAGGTGTAAGCCCTGAGTTTAAGTCCCAGTTCTGAGGGAAAAAACAAAAACAAAAACAAAAAACAAAGGCAAGTAGCCAAGGTCATGGGACAGTGGACAAGGACTATCCTGGAGGTTGGAAGTATGTGAAGAGATGAGGTGACTGGATGATGGACCCAGGGAGCAAGAGACCCAGGGCTGAGCCTGAGTCCACACTGGTGGTGGTCTCAAGCAGGGCAGGGGCAGGGCTGTCACCCATGCTGATCTAAGGGCATGTGGACCCAGTCCTTCTGTAAGTGAGCTTGCTCCCTGCTTGGGGTTGCTGATCTGCTAAGTGGGACCCTGTAGCTTCTGCAACCCTGGGGAGAGCCTGAGAGACAGAGATGGGGCCTTCAGGTGATGTTTGCTGCCCTAGATCCAGCTGTGCCCGAAGGCAGTCCATCCAAACCTTTTCCTTCTAAGATGCAACAAGCTCTCCTTCATTGTTTCAGCCACTGCAAGTTGAAGTGGAAAGTGTTTCCTAGAATAAATGAGTGGTAGATGTCATCCAGCTTTTTTGAATTTAGGTACAGCTTATGCAGGCTGCAGGCTGAGATCCAGCCAGTCTTGGATGCAAATTCTCACCACCTTTATCCCTCTTGGCTCAGAGACTTGGCATCTTAGGGCGCCCTTATCCCACGCCTGCCAAGAAGCCCCTGTTCTAGGTGAGAAGTCCCAGGGGCTGCTGAGGTGCTCAGGTGTGGTTCTTCCATCTGTAAGACTAAGACCTGGGCTCATTGTGGACATGATATGCCACCAAGTGGTGCTGTGAGTCCCTTGAGAAGTCCATGAAGCAGGTGTGCCTACTGTGCACAGGGACAACTCGGGGCTATAGGATCAGAATGCCCAATTCAGCCTCTCCATCTTCCTGCTTGGTGACCCTAGGCATTTCATTGCATTTTTGATGTCAGCCTCTGCATCTATAAAATAAGGTTTGATCAGGGTTAAACCACAAGCAAGTGTGTGCAGCGCATGGCGCAAGGCAAGTGGTTAATAAATGCTGGCCAGAGTAGCTCCCAGTGCCTCAGTAGGGCTTCAGCGGCTGAGATTCTGGGTGGGTGGATGGACAGGTGGGTGCTGGCTGAGTCAGAACCTTAGAGGAGGGAGAGCTGAATTCCGCCTGGAGGTGCAGCACAGAGCTAGAATGCAGGATTGGTGTTTGGGTCAGAGGGGAGCAGCATGGCAAAGTCCTGCAGGTGAATCATAGGCACATTCAGGGAACAAAGCGTAGTCAGGTGAACAGATGGAAATCACGTGAGACAAACCTGAAGAGGTGAGTTGGGGTACACCTTAGTTCATTCTTCGGTCTCACCCACCCCTCAGCAGATCTTTCCTGGAGTTCCTGTTGTGCCACAGCTCCCCACCCCCCCCTGGAAAGCCACATCAACAGAATTCAAAACAGGCCTAATGGAAATCAGCACATGTGGCTGGTAAGTACCGTATTAGATATTTCTGTCTTCCAGAATGTTCTTATCCCATAGAAATTTACACAATAATGGGAACCATCAAAATCTGTACTTTCCAGGGCTGGAGGTGTGGCTCAATGTACAGCACCTGTTTTTGCAAGTATGAAACCCTGAGTTCAACCCCAGTCCCACCATAATAAATAAATCTACCTGTTTGTTTTCCAACACAGAAGCCACAGTCACATGGGGGATCAGCCTTTGACCAAGCTATGGCAATTGAGGAAATTGAATTTTCCTTTTTCTTGAACTTAATTGAAAAGTAAATAGCCACAAATAAGAAAAGCGGAAAACAGCCAAGAAAACCTTCGCTATGAAGACTGTGAAATTGACAGCACACATAGTGGGCCAGGTGGAACCCAAAGTAA